GAGAGAGAGAGAGAGAGAGAGAGAGAGAGAGAGAGAGAGAGAGAGAGGCAGGGGGGAGGGAGAGATTTAAACATAAGTTTCATAGCTCTATGTGAGTGAGTGTGTGTGTGTGTAATAACATTTTTGGTGACTGTGTCATACACCAGTTTGAAAGAAGCTACTATGTTTCAAAAACCATGGAAGTGCTCTCGGAATCTCTACATGAACAGAAATGGGGAGCAAAACTCTTCAGAGTCAAGCTCTCTCACACCAGTAATGGAGCAGGGAGACAGGGCTCGGCCGCTCATCTCCATTGGCTTCTCCTCTGCTGGTCCTTCTAGATTCTTTCCTATCTTCTCAAGCCATATCAACAGGCTCACTACAGTGCCAGTTTGGCAAATAATAACCATTATTAAGTCAATATTTCCATCTGTGTAAACACATGTGTTTACTTGAAAGTCTGTTTCTGTGAGGGCTACCAGTGCCAAGAACCATCAATATGTCAATGTTCAGTAAGAAAATTCTGCAATCAAAATAAAGTAGATTGAATTCAAAATTCTGAGTATCTTAGAGGGCCAAAATGCCACATGATGAAGTCACTCAGAACACTGAGAACATTAAGTCCCTTGAAAATTGGGGGGAAAAAACAGAATGTGGTGGAGATTTCCAGAGAAAGGCCACAGGGATTTGGGGTGAAGACTGTTGGCAAAATAGGCTAGCCTGTGGTTACTTAGCAAGCAAATTTCCTCATAACGTCCCGTCCCGTGCTGGAACAAACTGAGGCTCCTAACCATTGTCCAGCCTCTGAGCCTGTGGGCTGCTGACCCTGAAGTGGGTCACACAGTGGGAGGGGGCACATCTCATATTTATTCTATCAAGAGAATGAGAATTGTAACCCAGATGCCGTGCATCTCTCTCAGGGTAGAGGGCAAGGTTAGCATCTGCAGGGCTCAAAGTAGTTGTGTCCAGAAAAGTTAGCACTGAAAAATGGGAAAAACATTCCCTCCCTCTCCTGATATCTTCAGATTTCGCTAATGTTGCTTACCGGTAGAACTGTTAGGGAAGCCAGGTCTCAATTGTTCTACTCACACATGTTTTTCAGTTATCCATTTTAAAGGTAGGGCTGTTGGTATCTTTGAAAGGTCAAGAGTTGTTGTACATTGTTCATGTTTAGATATGTTGCTTGTATCCCTGCTCTCTCCAAGACCTTTATCATGAAGGGATATTGTATTTTGTCAAAGGCTTTATCACCATCAAATGAGATGATCATGTGTGGTTTCTTTTTCAGTTTGCTTATATGGTGGATTACATTGACAGATTTTTGTATGTTGAACCATCCCTGCATCTCTGGGATGAAGCTGACTTGATCATGGTGGATGATTTTTCTGATGTGTTCTTAGATTCGATTTGTCAGTATTTTATTGACTATTTTTGCATCAATGTTCATGAGTGAGACTGGTCTGTAATTTTCTTTCTTAGTAATGTCTTTGTGTAGTTTGGGTGTCAGTGTAATTGTAGCTTCATAAAAAGAGTTTGGCAATGTTCCTTCTATTTCTATTGTGTAGAACAATTTAAGGAGTATTGGTACTAGTTCTTTGAAAATCTTGTAGAATTCTGAGCTGAAGCCATCTGGCCCTGTGCTTTATTTAATTGGGAGACTTTTGATGACTGTTTCTATTTCTTTAGCAATTAAAGGTCTATTTAATTTGTTTAATTCATCTTAATTTAATTTTGATAAGTGATATTTATCTAGAAAATTGTCCATTTCCTTTAAGTTTTCCAATTTTGTGGAGTACAGGTTTTTGAAATGTGACCTAATGATTCTCTGACTTTCCTCTGTGCCTGTTGTTATGTCCCCTTTTCTTTTCTGGTTTTGTTAATTTATGTATTCTCTCTCTGCCTTTTGGTTAGCTTTGACAAATTTGCCTATTTTGTTGATTTTCTTGAAGAACCAACTCTTTGTCTCATTATTTCTTGTATTGTTTTCTTTGTTTCTATTTTGTTGATTTCAGCTCTCAATTTGCTTATTTCCTGCCATCTAGTCCTCCTGGGTGAGTTTGCTTCTTTTTGTTCTAGATTTTCAAATGTTCTGTGAACTCACTAGTGTGTGTGATTTTTCCGGTTTTTTATGTAGGCCTTTAGTGCTATGAACTTTTCTCTTAACTTTGTTTTCATTGTGTCCTATAAATTTGGGTATGTTGTGTGATCAGTTTCGTTGAATTTTAGGAAGTCTTTATTTTCTTCCTTTATTTACTCCTTGACCCATTGATAATTCAGGTGAACATTCTTTCATTTCCATGTGTTTGTGGGCTTTCTGAAATTAGTGTTGCTGCTGAATTCTAATTGTAAGCCATGGTGATTGTGAAGATACATGGGACTATTCCAGTTTTTTTATTATTATTATTTGTTATCTGTTGATATTTACTTTGTTACCTGGTTTGTGACCAGTTTTTGAGATGGTTACATGAAGTGCTGAGAAGAAGTTATATTATTTCATGTTTGGATGGAATGGTCTATAGATGTCTGTTAACTTCATTTGAGTCATAACATGCTAGTTCCCTTATTTCTCTGTTAATTTTCTGTCTGACAAACCTGTCCAGTGGTGGAAGTGGGGTGTTGAAGTCTCCCCCTATAAGTGTGTAGGGTTTAATGTGTGAATTAAGCTTTAGTAGTATTTCTTTTATATATGAGGGTGTCCTTGTATTTAGTGCATCTCATTCAACATTGAGATTTCTTCTTGATGGAATTTTCCTGTGACTAATATAAAATGTCCTTCTTTGTCCCTTTTGATTGATTTTAGTTTGAATCTATTTGGTTAGATATTAAGATAGCTACACCAGTTTGTTTCTTAGGTTCATTTGACTGGAAATTTTTTTCCCAATTCTTTACTTTGAGGTGATGTCTGTCTTTGAGGTTGAGGTGTGTTTCTTGTATGCAGCAGAAGGATGAATTCTGTTTTCATATCCAATCAGTTAGCCTGTATCTTTTTATAGGTGAGTTGAATCCATTTATATTGAGGAATATTAATGATCAGTGATTGCTATCTCCTGTTATTTTAGTTTTTGTTGGTGGTGATGTTATTGTGTGTAGTTTTCCCTTCTTTGGGAATTGCTGCTTTGAGATCATATTGTCTATGGTCTCTTACTGTCTGCATAATGCTTGACCAGGACTTTCTGGCTTTCGTTGTTTCCATTGAGAAGTCAGGTGTAATTCTGGTAGGTCTGCCTTTATGTTACTTGACCTTTTTCCTTTGCAGCTCTTAATATTCTTTCTTTCTTCTGTATGTTTAGTGTTTTGATTATTATGTGGCTAGGGGGTGGTTTGTTTTTCGTTTTTCGTTTTGTTTTTTTTTTTGATCCAGTCTATTTGGTGTTCTGTAAGCTTCTTGTATCTTCATATGCATATCTTTCTTTAGGTTGGGAAAGTTTTCTTCTACTATTTTGTCAAATATATTTTCTGTGGTTTTTAGTTGGACTTCTATCCCTATTATTCTTAAGTTGGGTATTCTCATGATGTACCATATTTCCTCAATATTTTGTGTTAAGCTTTTGTTAGATTTAATGTTTTCTTTGACTGGTGAGACTATTTCCTCTATTGTGTATATTCAGCACTTGCAATTTTCTCTTCCATCTTCATTATTCTGCTGTTTATGGTGTCATTTGTGGTTCCTTTGATCATTTTTTCATATTTTCTGTTTCCAGAATTCCCTCAGCTTGTGTTTTCTTTATTGTCTCTATTTCAGTTATCAGGTCTTGAATTGTTTCTTTCATCTGTTTGATTTCTTTTTCTTGGTTTTCTTTAAGGGACTTATTGATTTATTCCATTTTTTTATTTGTCTTTTCCTCCATTTCTTTGAGGGAATTTTTAATTTCCTCTTTAAGGGCCTTAAACATTCTCCTCAAGTTATTTTTAGGTCGCTCCCTTCTGCCTCATCTATATTTAGGTGTTCAAGTATTACTAAGCCACAGTTTTTTGTTGGTGTGGTATTGCTATATATTTGTGGTGTTGAGTGTGTTCTTATCTTGTCTACCCATCTTTTCCTTGATGTTGTTGGAGCTGTGTCTCTGGTAATCAGTCTTCCAGGTGCCAGTGGATCCAAGGCTCAGATGGTTGCTCCTTGCGGTGCTGTCTGGCCCATGGTTCCAGTCACCCAGAGGTCACTGGGTGTTCCTGGAGGTCACTAGGCATTCCTGTATGTTACTCTGCAATCCTGGAGGCTCTTTGAGACTGCTCCCATGGAGGTTGCTTGCTTGGTGCTGCTCCTGCTGAGGTGATTGCCTTGGGCCGGCTCTGGCAGTGATTGCTGGCTCAGGCCTGCTCTGGCAGAGGTCATTGGCTTGGGCTTGCTCTCTCAGAGGTCCCTGACTAACACCCAACACGTCCCACAGAGGTTTCTTGATCAGACTTGCTCCCTTGTACCTGCTCCTGTTGAGGATGCTGTCTCAGGTCTGCTCTGGAGGAGTCTGCTGACTCAGACCTGCATTAGCAGAGGTCAGAGGTCACTGACTCAGGCCCTGTTCCCGCATATGTCCCTGACTTTGGCCTTCTCCCGTGGAGGTCCCTGACTCACACCAGGTCCTGCAAAGGTCTCTTGCTGGGTCCTAATCCATTAGTGGTCACTCCCTTGTAGCTGCTACTGTGGAGGTCGCTCCAGGCAAATTTTTTAAGGCTTACAATATAAACACACTACTAAAGGCCCATATAGTGCATCTCTATCGTAAATGTACATGCGATTCCAGCTACAGTCAGTAGCAAAATAATTGAATCTTAACATTAGCAGTGCATTTGGACTTGTCCTCAGTGAGCCAAACTCTGGTGGAACCTGACAGGGAGACACCCATGCAGCCCTGCATGCCCCCCAGTTCACCTTATTTTATCTTCAAAAGCTGTTCCGTCATCCAGGGCAGTATGGTTTTTTATCATTGTCATTAGGTCCTTTAATTTGTCTGTGGAGGAGTTTTCCCCACGGTGACAGATAATGATTGAACCAATTTTACATGTGGGCCTGTGAGAGCCCCTCCGCCAAGTTATTTCCCAATGGCAAAATGTTATCTAGTCTGTCCCTTGTTGAACTCCATTCATTGACCCAGTGTCAGTCTTTGCTGCACTTATCCACAGTCCAGAAGGCAAGATCATTCTGTTTGAACTATTGGTAGAAAAAAAAACCAAAATAGTTTTCTAGGAATGCCCTGCCTACAATCCCTTTTTAGGTAACCATGTTTATCGCAATTAAAACATAGATATTTCGAGTTTTCTTCAAGCCTTTGGAAATCACCACTGCCATCCAAGTACCATCATGGTTTTGAGTGTTGACATCGACTGTATCTCAGATCCATTACTCTGTGGATGCTGATTACCCGTTTTTGTTTGTTTGTTTGTTTTTTATTTTCTAAATATTTGTATTTATTATTTGAACATTTCATCCAGTTTTTTTCCCGTTAGACTTGTTTATTTAAGTATCCGAAAATACTCTTTCCACTTCCTCCCCTCCTCCCAATACCCTCCCGCTCCCCCAACTCCCCCCACTCCCTCTTCTCCTCCCTCACCATTTCCCAGAGCAGTCAGGGTTTCCTGCCCTGTGGAAAATTCAAGTTCCTCCCCCCTCCCTCCAGGCCCAGGAAGGTGAGCATCCAGACAGGCCAGGATCCCAAAAAGCTAGTCCATGCAGACGAAACAAGACCCAGTGCCATTGTCAATGGTTTCTTAGTCTTCATTTGGACCTTGGATCAGTCAGCCCCCATGTCAACCACATTCAGAGAGTCCGGTTTGATCTCATGATCGTTCAGTCCCAGTCCAGCTGGCCTTGGTGAGCTCTCATTCGATCAGACCCCTTGTATCAGTGGGTG